AATGTTTGCTTAGTCTGCAGGTTTGCTTCGCTGGGGGTATTTTGACCTTAAATGTAAAGAGCAATAAGTGCTATGTGCAAAATTAAAAAGGAACAGTTTTTTAAAGATGTTAGAATTTTTTTGTCAAACAGAGTAAAAATGTATAGGTTAAATTAACATAAATTGCTCAACTACTCCTTAATAGTTATATGTAGGGCATTTTTGTAAATACAAAAGTTGTTCCTTATTGTGTAAGCAACATTTATTGTTGTAAAAGTAACTCGCTATATATTACCATTTTCGAGGTATAAGCGCTTAATGAGTTTCATGTAATAAATGCCGCCGCCATTTTTAAAATGGCGGATTCTGAGGTTATGCCCACTCTGCCAAGCTGGCACCCTAGTGAAAAATGATAACCCACATAGTACCTACATGATCCCTTAGGGTGTTTTTCTATACATAAAATGCACACGGGAACCCCCCTAGCAAGTGGATTATGATGTATGGTAAAAAAACACTTTTAACCTTCCCCCCAAACCTAAGCACTCATTAAATCTAATGTTATTTAAATTGGGAATAAATATATCTTATTTAATTTATGGAAATATCTATATATTTAATACGCTATGCATATTTTTGTCATAATTGTTTTGGAGTGGTGGAGCTACCGATCACCATGTCCAAGGTGTCGTTAGAAAGGTCTTAGCATGCATTTTTGCCATCAAACAAAAAAACTTTGGAATTCCATCAGGGCTCTGCCCCAGTGGCCTTCAAAGTTCCCATGTTATTCTTAGGGAGAAAATGTTTGTTAAAATTTGAACAGATGAATACTTTCAAATTGACACTTATATTTGAAACAGCTGGTTATACTAAAATTTTGCACAAAGTCAAAACATAACCAAAAAAACGTTCGTTATAACGAAGACTATAAGACAAAGACCAGGACGGCCAATAGGAGGAGGCCGCCAAAATTTTAACTTCTAGACGAGAACAAAATACAAATAATACTATTATCGATAGCCGAATACAGCAAGCACCCTTCCGTGTTAGATTTAAGTGTGCTCTACAACAGCCGCCTGAAGATTTCACATTCAATTTAGGACTGTTGGATAATCGCTGCATAAGCTGTTGATTTTGGAAGACAAGGAGGCGGGTATGAGTACATCGGAAACAGAAGAGAGGAGATATTAGATGAGTGGCAAATGCGTTGGGAGCAGAGTGTTTAATGTTAACGTTTTAAAGGTAAACGTTTGTATATATACCTAACATCAGAAAGAGACTGGAACAAGATTGGGAGATGGGCCATTAAGAAACGCAGTTTGTCACAGGACATAGAACATTTCAAGGCGAATTTGTGAAGATTTCACATGGTGGAAGAGGAAGTGTGTAGATGTGAAGAAATAAAAACCACGAGTCACGTATTTATAAATTGTTCACTTCAGGAGACAAATAGGAGAGAACCGGAATAAGTCTTGGATAAGATAGGTCTAGAGATGAGAAAATAAAACATGATGAGTTACAAGGAAACAATTGAGACGTTTAGAAAAGTAGCTAAGGAAATAGGAAAAACCAGGGATACATACAGGCGTTAAAATTAAAAAAAAAAAGAAACAAACAAAAACTAAGAAAGAAGAGGAATGAAAACTTGCCCATGAAGAGGAGAGGAAAGGTTAGAGCGAATCTCAATGATCCCTATTGCTCAGGGCGGTATGGGGAATGGAGTCGTGCTGTTAGGCTTTTGGACATGTGTCTGAAAACCTATTGCGGCTATGAGTAAGGCTACTTTGTAGAAAACATTATCTATATAATTAATACGCTACATGAAACTTTGTCGGTTGAACTCCTCCGCCATTTCTTAACCAATTTTATCCATTGACGTCTCATTGTAAAGAGCGTGTCGCGTAGATTTGCAAACTGACCTTACATTTTTAAAAAAGTCCCTTGGTCTCTGCCCCAGTGGCTGTTATAGTTCCCATGTTATCCTTATGAAGAACATAATTGTTTACATTTTGATCAGCTGTATAATTTAATTGCTGTTATTTATATTTCAATTCAACGAAACGCATTGGGTACATTTAGGGTACTGATTTTGTTGAAATGAAATATTTACTATTTTAATTTACATTCATACATATTACAAAGTAAAAAATCGAGAAAGCCTGGACAATTTGAAATATTTTACCAAATAAGAAAAATGAATTGACATAGTACTGTATTTCTTGAGAAATCATTGAAAGAACCGATTTGTTAACCATGGAAACATAGCAAAGTCATAGAACACCACCAGCAAGTAGAAGAAATAGAGATTAAAAAAAAAAAAAACATTTACTGTCGTTATCATCCTATATGATGAAAAACACCTACATCTACAATATGAAGATTCCCACAAACAATGAACAAGGGTTAGTCGAAGTGCTATTTTGTAGGAAACATGGACTTAACTTTATGATGATTGGTAAAGGAAACCCCTCTAAGTCTGAATTAAACTGGTACAACAAGGACATTAATCATTAAATAGGTATATGTATTCATAAAAGTCAAGTGATAAAAAAAAAATGTGACTACATCCAAGAAACCTTAAAAAAACTTTCATTGAAGGATTCGCATTATTCCCATTTAAGGGAAACAAAAAACCATCTGAACGACATTAGGCCTTTCAATTCTGCATTTTTTCAGGTAAAAATAATTTAGGATAGCCTATAACAGTATTTACCCAAATGAATGCCAATTGATGAAAATAAAATTGTGACAGAGAGGTTATGTAGAAAATCAGGTGGTTCTTAGTCATGTCAACAAAATGTTATCGCTATAAAAAATTTACTGAAATTTGTAAACGTACTGGCGACAATGGGTGGTACCATGCAGACTACATTATCATTGACGAAGATCAACACGGACAACCTACCCATGTAGCACAGATGGTTGGGCCAACGTTGGCCAACTGTGGGACAGTTGGTCGATGGTTGGTTAGAGCTTCCACAATGAACCAACCGTTGTCCAACTGTATATCTCATAGTTAGGCCAACCAATATTTACAACTGTGGACCAACATTGGTTCATTGTTAATTAAATACATTAATATGCATTGCTGGGTATCATACATCAAGCCAACCGTTGTCTAACCGTTTTTCACTCCGTTGGACCAACAAAAGATACTTTTGTTGAACCAATGATGGTCCATAGTTGAGTTTACACAACTTTCATTCTCTGGATCTAGCTTTCACAACATAATTATAATAATGCAAATATATTTAAAATTAATATTCTTTAACTTATTTGCAACAATTTATGGGGAAAGAGTAATTAATCACAAAACAGTCAATTATAATAGCATTGATAATCTAACGGTAATGAAATAATCTATATTCAAATTCAAACCCAGTATCCTCTCTAACTCCCCCCCCCCCAAAAAAAATAATAATAATAATATCATAACTACTTATGATGCCTTAAATGATTAACAGAATCATATTATACTGTGTAGTATCGAAAATGTTTTAAGTATTGCGACCATTGCAACTGTCGGCTACTCTTTCACCACTTGAAAACTCTCTATATCAACAATCACAGATAGCTCAGTGGTAAGGTAAGAGGCTCATAAGTCGACCCGTCTGAGCCAAAAAATTTTATTCTTGTTTTTTTCAAAATTTGTTTTTATGAACTATTTAATCAATTTACTCAACTAATAATTATACATAATAATTATTTTCATACTAAATATTTATTATTTTGTGTGAAATAAAACGGTTGGTTGGATATCAGTTGTGTAAAGGTTAGTTGGCCATCAGTATTTTTGGATGGTTGGGCCATTGTTGGACAATGGTTGGTTGGAAAACAGTTTAAAGAGGTGACATTTCTACCGTTGGCCAACTGTGTGGCTCCACAATTTACCAACGTTGGCCCAACCATCTGTGCTACATGGGTAATACATTAGTGGGAAACATATTAAAAACCCAGATCAGCTTTTGAAAAATGATAAAATAATTACAAGAAATGCTGATTATAAGGAACTGTTAGGTACATAATCTATGAGTTGAGTCTTTTAAGCTCATCGGAAATTATGATGACTTTTATTTGTTTTTAAATAACTACTTTACTTCTTTGTAATTGCTCGATTTCGAGCAATGTGTTTACTAGTTTTAGTAAAAATGTAATCAGACAAGTTGAAATTCGCTTAGTCTGCAGGTTTGCTGAGGCGGGGGTATTTATGTTTTAAAAGTTATTTTGATGTTTAAAATAATTAATTGAGAAAAAATATATTGCTGAGGTCAGTTTTTTGTGTTTGAGTATTTTTGCGCCGTGATGAAACGTGTCGTTCTTAGTTCGTACCGAAAGTTATTTTCCGGCACTTGCTCCGTTAAACCCGTAAATTTGGGTTTCCTCACACAAAAACTTAAGAGCACTCTGAAAATGCCACTTTCGGTCCTAGTAATGAAATATACTATTATTTACTTTCAAGTTTGTGTGGGGATGGAAACAGTAATTTCATGTTTCCATCATCTTATAGAAATCGCTTTAAAAAACAATGTTTGGGAATTTGTAATCAATGCAAAGATGCAAGAAACTATAGATACAATAATGTTATTTTTAGGTAAAGAAGTTTTTGGAAGGTATTTACCAAAATTCAAGATTCAACAGTATATTATTCAATATTCAATATTCAAAATTCAATGTGATGTTTCCATATTTTGTATTTGAAGTTCATGTGAAATACCTTATATAAAAAGATTTTGGGATTATCCTGTGAGTAGCTTGTGCTTGTGCTGATTGGGTTCTTGGTTTGAGAAAAGCAATGATCAAATAATCAAACAAATTTTAATCGTGTTTGACAATATAATTTGGTAATTCATTAGAGTTTCACACCACCATCATTATTTGGCTAATTCTATTTGATACAAACATTGATTTTAGATCTTAAAACCTGACCAGAACAAATCCCTCAATAAATGAAATGCACCTGATAAGAGTATATAAAGAGCACTCGAGAAGTATATGAAATGTTTCTTACTTTGGTATCTTACATTGATAAGACTTGAACCTAAGACCACTGCCCAGCCCCAGCCTCCATCCGGGGGTACAAAGGTTACTCGCCCTTTTGTCTTCTTCATCTCCAATCCTGAAAATCATAAAAAAACATAAATTGACCCTGAAAGGAACAAATCACTGAACACGGTTTTTAATTTCTTATTAGGAATCTCTAAATTAACAGAAGTGATCATTGTGTGTCATTCAAGAATGTTCTATTTCTTTCATACTTCTAGAATTTGAATATGTCAGATCTGTAAGACTTTGAAATATAAACCTTGAAACAATTTAGAACCATTTTGTACAGGGTGAATCAGACCACCCCGTGCACAACGGTTTGGCTCAACAAGAGTTAAAAACCGACCATATTTATTGAAAACCCGCCATTTAAAATGTTTTTAGTGGATTAAAATTTTAAAATGTCGCTTTAGGCACTTATCTTTCAATGTTGGAATAATTTAAAGTACAAATATAATGTCCGAAAAGTAATTTAAAAATTTTAACACGTCAAAAATCCAAGACAATTTACAAATTTTAGAAGTAAGGTGTTTTTTTAAGGTGAAGGAGTGCGAATGTAGAAAAACGCTCAAGAGTGACTGAAGTAAATCTAATCCCTGACTATGAAAATTCTTTCAAATCTTTGCTAGCTCTTACTGTTTTCAAGCTAGAGCCGTTTAAAATGTGTTTTTCTAAAAAAAAAAAAAATTTATTTAGGGGAATTTTAGGGGGGTTGTAGGTTGCAAAATGTAACTTTTTGGATCAGTGAGTTACCCAAGCGGCTTTATATCCAGTAAAGGTATGTGCACAGGTGGTCTGATTTACCCTGTATAGGGGTAACTCAAATTTTTAATTAAAACTTCAAATTGCAGAAAAGTACAACACACTGAGTATTGAGTATAGAAACCAATCCTGAATAAGCTCCAATGTTGACAGTATCTAAACCCGAACATCTGGTGAATATTAGTAAACAAAAACATTATCTTGTAGGAAACCGCCATCTAGAACCATACAAGCTTAACACCATTCATGTCAAGATAATGGCTGTGTGTGATTAAGTCCTCAATGGTTGTAAGTTGCCACTATATGATCACGATACATCAAGTGAGGTAAGAGCTTTGTTTATGTTTACCTCCGGGTGACCTGACAACACATGATAGTGTCAGAGTTGATAATGACACTAACTCATAATGAGATGGTGATGTGTCTATGTCAAACTTTACCACCAGGAAACAAAATTAGAAATACCTTTTCCTAAAGTCACCTGACAAAGTGGGCTTCCTTGCGATCATACAGAAAGCTGCTAATTGCTGCATTACTTACTTTGCCTAACACTTTTTACTTTTGCCGCACTCCGGTATTCTAATCAAACAACACAAAACAGCGTGCTTTAATTAGGCACGTAATCCATGTACGCTTGGAAATAGGTTGGTAACATTTAAAGATCTACGACTACGATCATCTGGTCCAGCGTTTCCCATTTCATTCAACGTTCCTAAAAACGTGTTATATTGTGTTTGAAAAACAAATTTTTTATATGCTTTATAGTAACTGTAGGAAAATATAATGTGTAGTGCGAGTGCAAATGCTTTTGCTGCGCTTGAGAAACTTTCCACACTCGTGGATAAACATTTCTCTCATGTAAGACATAAGACATAAGACATAAGATCAATTTATTTCCTATAAAACTTACAATATACAAGTCATTGGAAAACGTCAAATTCTACATTATAAAATACATTATAAAATATACATAAGATCTATGAATAAAAAGAAATTCCTTCAACATCATATAATATAATATAATAAAGAAAATGCATACACAATGTGACCTGTAACTCACCATGCAAAGAAGTTCCTACATGAAATATAAACAAATTTAGGAGTTTAACATATAAATGTACAACAAAGTGCCACTTTGCACACTAGTTACACAAATAACAATAGAAAACAAGTGGGTGTGTTTTACGGTGGTAATTTTTATGTTAAACAGAAAGTAACTAAATTTATTATCAGGCAAAATTACAAATAAAAAAAATGAAATTCCTCCTACTACAACAGACCAATTTCTTCATTTATGCTTTGTAAAGGGATAGGAATGCAGAAGAGAATTTAAATTAATACCCCCGCTAACTTCCATTTGCCTGATTGGATGTTCACTTAAATATCTCCTTAAACATGTTAGATTTATACAGATTTATACCCTATTTAAATGGCATTAGGGTTAATAAGTACAGTACAGTACTTAATAAAGAATTTTTTTTTAGTAAAATGTGAATATAGCTTAGTAGAAAATAAATACATATGTCGCCATGCCGGATATGCCAAGTTTAATCAAAACATATCCATAAACAAGCAAACTACAAAAACTTTTTATTCTCTATAAGAATAACATGGGAATTTTCAGTTTTCAATTTTTAAATTTTCTCTGTAACTTATACCATAGCCTATAACAACACTTCAAAAATACTAAATTATTTGTTTTTTAAGATCTACAAAATAGTTTGGAGATAAATTGTGAAATTCTATGTTTAGAGGGTTAAAAATTAGAAAAGGTTTTTTTACCCCATAAAACCCCGTTTCCGTGGTCCGATAATGCTCATGTTGATTGAACAACGTTGACCAAACTAATATATTTTATAAATAAAAAGTAATTTTTATATAAGAATTAAACTATTGGATGATTTTTGCTTAAGTCATCATGCTAAATGGACACACATATAATATATTTATGAATTTGAACGGATGGTGTTTTTGGCCTCTGGGGACATCAAATTGGAAAATAAATTGGTCCATGGTCTAGGTCCAACATGAGACCAACATTAATAGCTTATTCCCTATATAGGAAACTCGCTAACAAAATGGTTTATATTTGCTAGTTGCTATACTACATTTTCAAAACTAACACAACTAAAAATACTACACAACAATTAAGTTAAGAGTTCAGAACATGTTGAAAACCAGTTTAACAAAAAAAAAAAAATATGTTTAAATCTTGGTTAAATACCATGTACAATGTATGTATTTTTACGTGCACATCTTTCTAACTTTAAAGGTGAATTAGTTACAAGTTATCATTGCTCAACAATGTAATATTCTTTCCAATACTGTCTGGGCTAACCTATTGTTGCCTCCATTGTTTAGAAAGCTTAGAAAACTCAGCATTGTTGCTTAAGACCTCTGGAAAAATATTATGTTTCATATTAAACTGTAGGAATACAATGCCATCAATGCTGCGTCCAAACAGAATTTTTTATGTGTATAAGTAAAGCTTGGTTTATTAAAACGTAGTCTTTATTTCTAGATTACAAGCAATATTTTACAAAAACTGAATAATCACAATCATAATATTTTCTTGTCGACAGTTTAAATTAACTGCAATGACTTTGGGAATAATAATATTGCAAAATGACACAACTTTTCATATGCTTGAATTACTATAATCTAGTAAATAAAAATGTTTACCCTATCATGTAGAAAAATAACATTTTTAGATGATTTTAATTCACATTTTCTATAGTAGCCTACCATGCTATCTAATCATAGTAATGGGGTTTATCCATAATCTTCACTTGCATGTGATACCATAGATAAAAGGAGTAGTAGATAAAAGGAGTAGATAAAAGGATAAAAGGGATACTGTCAGTAAAAAATTATCAACGACTTAAAAGTCAAGATTATTTAATAACTTGCTAGTTTAACTACTTCAAGTTCAGTTTTTAGTTAAGCCGCAAAGTTGATTTAATTCTTTTCCCACATAAACAAACAAAAAAATGCAATTTTTGTTTCGGTACAAGATTTTGAGCCTTCTTATTATATTTGGACAATCTCTAGACTTAAAAAAAATTCAAGGATTGCTACAGCCCAACTAGGTTTTGACATGATTAAAATTGGTTGTGTGATCCTATTGATTCATTCCTAGTTATAGCTTAATATATAGTGCAGTAAAAATAAGAGAAAAATTCCATAAACCTAAAAAAATTAGCACAACCGGGGAATTTGGTACAGATGTTGGGTTTACCTTCCTTTTGAACATACTAAAAGTCCCCTAAAATTAAAGCTGTGCTACGGCCGCCATATTGGAAAATGGCGGCATATTTATGTATTTTTCTCTATAGTGACTTTATTATTAGAGATACAGGAAAAAGCTAAATGTACAAAATGTAGGTCGTCTAAAAATACACATTTTTTGTATTTACCATCTTTCTCTAAACCCAACGGTTTTTGAGTTATTTGTTATTAAGTATATTTAGTTTTTTCTATTTATCAAAAATAGGTGAAACACATGGAAATTGGCCGTTACTTTAAAGGATTATGATAATTAATCCTATTTAGTTAAATAGTGTGATACTATAAAATCTAAAAATTTAAGCTTATTTTATGAGTAAAACAACTCCGCCACAGCAAACCTGCAGACTCAGCAAATTTCCATTTCATTGGATGTTTTATTAAAAAATGTATATAAATAAAATTAGGTTCAACCGGTACCTAGGTTTGCTGCTACAGGTAGGTTATTATAGTGTGTTTTTTTTAAGTAAAATATCAATACCTTACTATAAAATAACTAATTTTCCAAGTTTGATCAAAATATATCTATAAACAAGCAAACTGCAACAGTTAACTAATTCATAAGAATAGCATGGGAGTTTTAAATTTACAATAAACAAATTTGAATATACAAATTTTGGTTGTGTTTACTAAAAAGATGGCGATTATTCGTCACGATTAGAATATTAACCAAATGGGTTTTCAAAAGGAGATGAAGCAAGTAATTTAAGTACTGTAATATTAACTCGTACCAAGTATCGGAAATATTGTATGCAGTGAGGAAATCAACCATATTTTGTAAACTACGCAATAGTCATATTAATATTTTATATAGTGGTTTAAATTACCTTGTTACTGTCAAAACGATCCTTTGTAGTTAGTAGACTACAAGTTTGACAGTAACAAGGTAATTTAAACCACTATATAGTTAATTCAGACGATCCAGAGGCCATTCCACCATAATATTTTATACTCATGTTTACCCATTTAATAAATTAACATTTTAATATTTTGATGGCACTACCACTATCACTCTGATATCAACTA